GGAATCCCTGCATCTGGGCTGTCAGGGCCCCGGGAGGCTGTAGGGGTGGGTGCGGGCTACACGGAGGGTTTAAGCCCGGGTGACAGGATCCTAGCGTTCATTTTAAGAAGCCCTATCTGGCTGCTGGGAGGACACGGGCTTGGAGAAAGGCAGATGGGAGCCAGGTGAGAGGTAGAGGGCCTGCGAGGTGTATTTCAGAGCCAGGAATGACAGGTCTGTAATGGGTTGGAGCGAGCACGGGAGAGATCCTTACATAGCTTTGTAGTCTACTGTCTTTTGGCCTGTCTGCCCCATGACATTGGAATGTAAGCTCCCTGAGGGCAGGGATCTTGCTAGCCTGGTTCTCTGTCAGTGCCCCAGGATGCAGTAAGGGCCTTTGGTAAAGATTTAATGTGTGGTGAGTGAGTGAGTGAGTGAGTGAGTGAGTGAGTGAATTAAGGTATGAGAGGGAGGGGTTAATGACGACACCCCAGTTTCTGGCTTAGCCTCGGGGTGGATGGTGGTAGCACACGGAGGGGAGAGCCGTGAACTCAGAGTCCAGCATCAGGGCGGGGGCTGGGTCAGGAGCAGGTGCCTGGGAGGGCCTGAGCGGGCAAGGTAAGCGGGAGTGGAGAGTGGGAAGGAGAGGGGGCTGTGCAGTCTGGCCACTGATGTACACCCAACATGGAAAGCAGGGCCGGAAAGAGAGAAGAAGCTCACTATGTGTTTGTCGAATGAACGAACGGAGTTGAGAGGAGAGTTCTGGGCTGGACCTACGAACTTGGCTGTTACCAGGTCCTGGAAGGTGTTTCAGACTGTAGGCACGGACGAGATCACCTAGGGGAGAGTGTGTAGAGAGAGAAAGGAAGGGACCTCCTCTGGCCACCCCCTCTCCCCACACCAGGAATTGTTGATGGAGGGAAGTAGGGACCCTAACTCAGCAAAAAGCAGAGCCGTGCAGTTTAGGGAGACTCTTAGGGAACAGCCCTAAAGGCAGGTAATGTTGGCGACCGGGAGTGAGGGAAGGGGGAGGGGTGCAGGCTGGTCCCTCAGCCCTGTGAGAAAAGGAGAAGCCTCCAGCACCAACAGCAGAAGGCCTCTGACTCCTCTGATCTGGAGCCATGACAGCTCTCCTTCTGGTTCCCTCTCCTCAGCCCGTGATGCTGTGGCCAGGCCCAGCTGAGGCTCCCCAGGAGAGAGCAGGGTCCCAGCCTCCCTGGCAGCCCTTGTGGCCCTTAGAGCGACACACGCTGTCCGGGGCTTAGGTGTGGTGACCACAGCCCCAGGTGACTGGGCCAGCTCTTGGGCCACCTGTTGTGTCGATCCCACAAAGGCCCAGAGCCTGGCAAGAAAGGCAGGTGCTCAAGGTGAGAAGTCTGTCAGGGCCCCAGGAGGCTGTAGGGGCGGGTGCCGGCTACACATTGTCAACCCAAGCCCAGGGTATCAACCGAGTCATTGGCCCAGATGCACCGCAAATGTCAGTCTCTGCCCTGGCATACAACCCATGACTGGCTGGAAAGAGGCAGACTAGCAGGGAGTTCCCCGCCAGAGTAAAGGACTTGGAGGAAAATCATGCTGGGAGAGGAGTTTATCCCGGTCCTGTTAGGAAGACCTGGGCTCTGGACCTGCCTGCACCCCTAAGGGTTGCGTGGTGCCACCCCCAAGCCCCCAGGCAGAATGTGTGAGAACCGGGAGAGGTCTTCTAAATCCACTTTCCATGCCCAGCAGAAATTCTTCCCACGAACCCTGGCGCATGACCACCCAGTGGCTCTCCAGACATTTCCAGGGACGGGAATTTCATGCCCACAGGGCGGCCATTCCAATTCGGCAGTTCTTAGAAAGCTTCTCTTTTTCCCAAAGCCTGGAAAGACCAAGACCAGATGTTAACAGTGTCACCTCTCAAGGAGGAGCGTAGGACTACGGGAGGGTGATGGGGCCTTCCTTCCCTGTTGCTTTGGTATGGGATGCTTTCAATACCGTGTGTGAAATTTGTAATAGCAAGGAAAACAAAAAGTCAGGTTCTTCTTTATTTGACCCCGAACTGTCCTCCTAACATTTCCACCTATTGGTCCCAGGTCTGCTCTCTGGGATCAGAAAATAAGCTAAACCCGCTTCCCCTCGGATGCCCATCAAATACTTTAGATGGGGATCCCGTTTCTTCTTTAGGCTGAGCCAACTCCTGCTGTAACTTCGTCTCCAGACCGGACCCCATCCCAGTCAGCCCCTTCTGAGCCTCAGACAATAAAACTCTGCAACCCAGAGGAAGGAACCAATAATTCTGAGTTGGGTGTTATGCTATTAATGATGTCCTCTTTTATGTGTGTGGGGGGGCAGGCACCACCAGATCACTCACTGCCTCAATCCTCGGTTATCTGTAAAAAGGGAAAACAATACCTTTGCTATCAGAATCAATTGAGATGAAAGAAATGAAAAACATTAAAAGCACAAATCCCTGGGGCGCCTGGGTGGCTCAGTCATTAAGCATCTGCCTTTGGCTCAGGTCATGATCCCAGGGTCCTGGGATCGGGCCCTGCATCGGGCTCCCTGCTCGGCGGGGAGCCTGCTTCTCCCTCTCCCACTCCCCCTGCTTGTGTTCCCTCTCTCGCTGTCTCTCTCTCTCTGTCAAATAAATAAATAAAATCTTTAAAAATAAATAAATAAATAAAAGCGCGAAACCCTACCCTTGCGGTTCCGACTTAGAAGCCCCATTCTGTTTAAAAAGCAGCAAAGCCCTGGACTCGTGGAGGCAGACAGCTTGGGTTCGAATCCCAGCTCTGCTGGGACCACTCACTGGCTGCGTGACAGAACAAAACCCCCCAAATAAAAGGGTCTGAACCCCACATGGCTGTACTGTAGTTTTCTCCGTGAAACAAGGAGAATGAGAACACCAATCCCCGAATGCGTTTTTAAGAGCGTAGGATGTATGGCCCAGCACTCGTAAGTGTTAGCAGTCCACTCCGCCTTCTCCCCAAGAAGAGAAGGGCTTTACCAGAATGAGGCTAATTCGTAGCACTTACTCAGAAGGCGAGGCCATAAACCAAATTGGGGTGGGCTATTGGGGTGAGTCACTCCACAACACTCCCCCTGCCCCCCAATATCTGGAGGCAAGGATTCTGTGCTGGGCACTGTGCCCAGGGCTTTAGAGGCGCGTTCACTGAACTCTGCCAACAGCTCTGTGAGGTGGGTGCTATCCTCACTCCCATTCGACAGATGAGGAAACAAAGGTTCACAGGGGTTAAGTAACTTGCCTCAGGTCACACAACTAGGGAGTCATGGAGCCGGGACTCTAGCTGAGTCTGTCTGACTCCCAAAGTCGGTCTTGGACACTGGCGTCCTGTTCTCTTAACCAGCCCCCTAGTTTGGGCTCCTGCTTTTTGAGGAAGCCACAGCCTTTCTTCCCTGACCGCACTGTCCACTGTTTCTGTGAGGCAAGGCGGAGGGGTGATCTGTTCTCTCACTGAGCTCTCTGCCCCGTGCGCTGCCCCTCTCTCCTCCGGAAGTCTGTCATCAGACTGTCACCAGGGACCCCAGCTGCATCTCCTTGGGTCCCCTCAGGGCCATCCTGGCATCTGGTACCCCTGGGCTGTTTGCTGGTTCTTGGCCCCTGACCGTGAAATGGTTCCACACTCATCTACAAAAAAACAAAACAAGAAAACAGCCATTTTGGACGTGGGCCCTGCTGCGTAATATCATTACCGAGCCAGCAGAGCATCCCGTCCCATTATCGCCCTGCCAGGCTTCTCTGAGGCGAGCCTGGCTGCAAATGGCTTTCTCTGGGCTGGCGGGGGGGGGGGGGGAAGGGTGGTGCAGCCTCTACTTCTCTACTTGCCCTCCACTGCCGGAGGAGATCTTATCTTTAATTGACAACTGGCTGCCTGCCATTGCTTTGCCTCAGCTGTCTCCAGCTCCAAGCCCGATTTTCTCTCGCGCTTCGGGAGCAGGCTTCCCCTCACTTCTTCTGTCCCTCTTGGCTCTGCCTCCCTCACCCCCCCGCCCCCCGGTGTGTTCTTGTCCTTCCTTGGTGGGACCGGACGCAGAGGAGAGCTTAGAAGTCTGTGGACAAAGGCCTGAGAGCTACAGCAGGGGTGAGGAGAGACGAACACTTGCTGGGCATCCACCGTGTGTCATATGCGCACCTAGGGCCCTGGGCCAGGTCTGTACACTCACTGTGTCCGAAATCAGGGCTGTTGTGATCCCCGTTCTCCAGGCAGGGAAAGAGAGGCTCGGTGAGCTGCCCCCAAGTCACCCAGCTAGCATGTGGCGAGCTTTGAATCCAGACTTTGAACTGAGGCCCTAGGACCCTCGCTTATGCCTGGGCAGACGTGGCTGGCTGCATGGTTTCCAAAGCCCAGTGCAAAATGAACACGCAGGGCCCCTTCTTCCATGATTTCCAGATGGTGACAGCTGAGCATGAAGCCGCACGCCTGGGAGCCAGCCCTGCACGTGCCCCCACGTGAGTGAGCGGGGAAAGCCCAGTGAGGGGCTGTGTGTCACCATCACGTACCACGACCCCCATCCTCTCTGGGCCCAGGATTTGGCTATGCCCCGTCCCTCAGTGGTCCCGGATGTGCCACCCACCACTCCCTTGTCGGCAGTTCATTAGTCACCCAGTCGTCACGGTGACTGAGGCATCCCCAGGGCCTTGGCCCACATAGAACTGGCGCAATTGCAGGGAGGAGACCCCCCGCAGAAACAAGCAGGAATACAGGAGAACTCCTTCCAAATGCCTCTGTCCTTCCGTGCCACGATGGGGCTTAAGGGGGGCAGCAACAGAGACCAGAATGCTGCCTGGGAGTGGGGGGGTCCTGGGTTTTCCTTTCCGGACCCCAGGCAATCCTTTCTCCTCTCTGAGCATTCGTGTCTAGCTCTGAATACAGGGGTGGCTAGGTATCGATGGTTCCTGGGGGGGGGGGCAGGGCTATGATAGGAGTGTGCTGCATTTCTCAGGTGCTGGGGTGGAAGCCCGGAGACGTCCCCACAGACACAGAGCCGGAAAGGAGAGGCGGAGGCGGTCACTCGTGGCAGGAGCAGCAGGATGCTCCAGATATCTTTATTGGGGCTCAAGCACAGCATGACAGTGGAAGGCAAGCAGACAGGGCGGCAAGGCCCAGCCTAGGCATGCCTCAGACACACACACACGAGGGGACAGCTTTAGAAAAGGACTGACCAACACTAGGGAGGGGCAGGGCGGGGGAGTGGGGAGGGAGGGCCGCAGGAGGGGCAGAGGCCAAGGTCGAAGGGGTCACCTGGCCTCTGCTATTGCACAGTCCTCTGGCCACCGGCCAGGAAGTACAGTATTGCAACTGGTCTCCGCTCGCCCGAGGCTTCCCCTTCTCAGACCCCTGAGCCGGATGGGCGGACAGACCTCTTCCCTGCCCGTCTGCCCAGCAGCATCTTTGAAAACAAACGGACGAAGGAGACAGAACAAAACCCCCCAAATAAAAAAAGACAAAACGCTCCCCCCTCAGTCCAGGACAGAGGTAAGGTGGAGGAAGGAGTGGGAGAAGCTACAGAGGAGCCCCTTGGAAGTCCCCCAAAACTGGGGCGAGGGTGGGAGGTAGAACCCCAATCTGGGGTGGGTTGGGGCTTGTGGAGCAGTGACCCTGGGGGGCAAGCGGGCCTTCCACAGACTACTGGCCACAGGGGCAACAACCCCAAGAGGGCAAGTCTAGCCTGGGATCCCCCAGTGGGACTGGCCGTTCCCAGATGCTCTCTTCCTGGGATATTCCACATACGTGTTCAGCAGAAACAAGGAGTCAGTGAAGGGGAAAGGGGACAGGGCTGGGGGAGGCCTGGGGGTGGGGCCCGGGCTTGGGGAGACACAGCCTAACAAAGAAGACAGACCACCAGTAGCACGTGCACTACACACAAGAGTATAGTATGTATGAATATAGATACTATATGTGCATATATATCTCTTCAGTGTACAACAGAACAGAACATCGGACCCAGATGGCTCTGGGCCCAGAGGGTCACACGGGAGGTTTTCCGTCAGTCCTGTGCAAACAAGGATCTCTGAGTCTTTCCCAGTGAAAGATTCTTGCCAGGGTTCCAGAGTTTCCCTAAGCCTTTGGCTTTCTGTCTGTCTGCCTGCCTCTCTCACGTTGGTGCCGCTTAAGAGAGGGTGAGGACTTCAGCCTGGGCATAGCTGGGCGAGAGGGCGTCTTGGCAGGTCTCTGTGTTTAAAGAGCACAGGTGTGAGACACTGGGACGCACTCTTTCGGCTCAACATTGCCTTCTGGGGGGGCAAGGAGTTCAGCAAAAGAAAGGGAGAAACAAAGAATGAGATGTTAGAAGGAAGCGAGCTGCGGACCCACAGCCTGTGGGCTAAGGACAAGGCCAGGAGCAGAGCTGGAAGGCATGGGCACCCGGGGCAAAGAGGCCAGGAAGCGCAGGGATGGGTCAGGGAATGGGGGCAGCCCCTCCTGCAGCCCCTAGCTGCCTACCCAGAGCTAGGCCAAGTGACTCCTAGGTCATGTTACAGCTTTATCTCTATACCTGCTCAGGTAATGAGCTCCAGGAATCCCTAGCCCTCGGGTCTTCGCAACTCCGGGGCAGTGGGCAGAGGGACCACAACCCCGCAGCCTGGCACGGGTGCAGTGGGGGAGGTTCCTGGGCTCCCCTCCCCAACATAGCTCCACCCGCCATCACTAGCTGGGGCCATCCCACTGTCCCCGGCAGGCTAGTGAAGAAGGCTCCTGAGTGTGTGGCCTTACGTGCCCAGCCCCCCTTCCTCAATCTGGCGGGCACAGTTGGAACAGCTGGAGGGTAGATACTGAAGGGTAAGGTCAGGGAGGACCCATGTGTCCATCTCAGGAGACAAAGCCAGAAAAGAGCATCTTACTGAGAAACCCAACTGCTCAGCGAGCCCTTCTCGGCATCCCATCCGCAGCCTGGCATGTCAGTGGCGTGGGCCTTCCCTTCTCCCACCTTCCCAGTGGGGGCACAGGAAGGGCAGGGAAGGAGGCTGCTGTGAGGGGCAGGCATTTTGGGGTGATACACTGGCCAGGGCAGAGGAGGCCCTCCTCTCCCAGGGGGCTCTGGGAAAGGGCAGCCTGGGGCCCAAGGGGTGACTCCTGGAGCCCCAGCTCTCGGGCTGGTACTCTGTCTCCCCTCTGACTCCTGGGCCTAAGCTGAACAGATGTCTTCCCAGCTCATAGCTCCTCCCAGAAGCCCTGGGGGTTGAGAAATGGCCTCCATGGCTGTTAACAGTAAGTAAGGTTAACAGCTCCTAATTGGGCAGCTTCCCTGCTCTGCCAGGAGGGAGTGGGCCCCAGCTGTGGGGGAAAGGTTTCTCTGAGACAAAGTAATGGGTACAGGTCCAAGTCCACGTGCAACATAAAGCAAACTGTGCTCTCAGATTATAGGTGGAAGAGAGAGTCTTCCCCTGAGGCAGGAGGCCCCAGGTCTGGATAAGCTGAGGCCCATGCAGGCAGCCACCTCCCTAGGCAGGGCCCTGGGAGGCCCAGAAGTCCTGAGAGGTAGCTGGGGCAGACAGCCTCCTCAGCTGTCCTGTTAGCTAGGTCCTGTGTTTCCCCTACAGAAGCCAGAGAGCCAGTGGGGGGACAGGCGGGAGCCCATCTCCCAAGGCACTAGGGGCTCCAGCCTGGCACTCCCGCATCATGTTGCCCAGGGACAGCTGTACCCACCAGAGGGGTGCCATGAGCATGCCCATCCCTGTGGGAGGGAAGAGAGGGAAGGAGGAGGTGGGTGCCGTGGAAACTTGGACTCCTGACAACTTGAGGGCCGCCACAGAAATAGCCGCCTCAGCTCCCTGAGCCAGGGAGGCAAGCCCGAGCACAGAAGAGCTGTGGTGTCCACGCCAAACTGGACACCTAGCTCATCACGTCCCCGCCGGGGCCAGGACCCCGGGGCCAGGGAGCCCTGTGGGGACAGGACTGAATCTGTCCTCACCAAGAAGCAGCAGCTGGGCTCCCAGGGCCAGCTGTGACAGGGCACCTAGAGTCTCCCTCCTGCTCCACAGGGCTTCCCTGTCCCTGTCACTTGAAGGGGCCTGTCCCCTCTTGAAGGGTGGTCACATGGATGCCCCTGTATTTTCTCACCTCTTAGGGGGACATTTCATTCTGAGAGCAAGCAGGAGACAGGCTCCACGGACCACAGCAGGGCTGGGGTATCCCAGGACCCACTGCGGACAGACTTCTCTGTAAGGCACATTCCTGTGTCTGCCCCAGGCTGAAGACAGAGGGCACTGAAAGGGGGTGCTCCTGGCACAGGCTTTTCACAACACCCAACTCTCATGAAATGATCTGACCTTTCTGCCCAGTTCACCTTTCGGGGCAGCCTCCAGACTCCCCGGCCTCCTGCTGAGTCCCTGAATGCTGTCTTGCCATTCCTATCTTTGCCCACCCTGGAAGGAGCAGATATGGACCTTAGTCATTCCCTCTTCAAAGTTGCATAATCTGACTCTAAAAATTGCCAGGCGCACGGCTCCCCTGTCAGGTCTAATTCCCATCAGGTGAAACAGGAAATGTCTTGGCCGAGGCCTTCTGCGTTCCTGGGGCCGAGGGGGCCTGGAGAGCCTCCCCTCGTTCGCTGCTGGAGAGGGGCCACCTGCAGCCTGGCCCAGCCCGGCCCTGCCCTGCCTGGGAGTGGCAGGGTGCCTGCGCAGGAGCGGGAGGGGGCGGGATGGCTTCTGTCCCCACACTTCCCCTCGGCTGCCCCTGCCCAGGGTGCACCCCTGCTCCCTCAATGACTCACAAACCTGTTGTGCTCCCAGGCTCGTTAGGTAAATGAATACACTTAATTATAGAAATTAGATGAGTCTCCGGTTCTGGCAGCAATCCAGAGCGCAGAGGCTGGGTGGGAGCGGCAGGTGACTCAGGCAGGGCTGGGAGTCTGAGGCAGCAGGAGAAGGGAAGAAAAACTCGTGGAAGCAGAGAAAGCAGCTCGGGAGAGATACGGCTGCTGGGGCGCAGATGGGATGCCGGGCTCTGCCGTCGCCGGATGTCACTCCCAAGAGGAGGGCATTCCCGTGCCCAGGCAGCCCATCGTGGGGCCCTAGGGACCCCACCTGCACACCAGACCAGAGCTGGAGAGCATCAGGCCTCCTCTCCCAGGGGGGCACCGCTCCCCTGACCAGTTAGCTCCCTGCACACCAGCAGAGATGGGCGTGCCCCACAGGATAGCCTCGTTCTTTGCTGGTCTGGGTGTGGGATGGACAGACAGACAGACAGAGATATTCAGTCGCAGGCTGGTTACTGACTAAAGGCCACGAGGAATGGAAATGCATTTGCCATGATGAAGGTGGGACCCTGAGGGGAGGCAAGGCCCAGAGGCAGAGGTCCCGGGGGTGCCGGCAGGGTGCCCCCTGTCGGGGGCGGGGGATGGGTGTGAGAGGAGCCCTGGGAGTGATCTCCGTCCTTGCTCTCAGGCTCCAGAGCTGAACATTCTGGGGAGCTGGGTGCTGTGGAGGAGAGGCTCGGGGGCCTGGGCTCTCCTGCCTCCTACTCGGCTCCCACGGGCCTCCGGAGGACTGAGGGCTGGAGGGCATGTAAGCGCGGTGTGCGCCCCGAGGTGGGCAGAGCTGAGGGCGTGGCTAAGGGGCCAGGGGCCCAGGGGGAGGGCCGGTGAGAGGGCGGAAGGGGTGGGAGAGCAGGAGCTTTCTTGGAGGGTTGGGTGAGCTGTATCTCGATGCCAGTGGAGACAGCCCCAGACTGGTTCCTGCTGCTCCAGCTATGTTGTTTAGACTCCGGGATTTTGCACAGCCTTGGTGAAGAAAAGGCACATGGGTCAGAGGGGCATGGCTCCTCATCTGAGCAGCTCCGTGGGATCCATGCTCCGGGGGGACCCTGCAGGGCAGGCAGCCCCTTGCTGGTTGAGGGGTCTGGCCCGCCTGGAGAAGGCTCCCTGACTCTCCCTGGCTTCCAGGTCACCTAGGCTCAGAGGACAGACCTCAGGGACCCACAGCTGATCTCTGCCCTGTCACTGTCCCCAGGTAAGTTTCCACCAGCCACACAAAGACCCCATAGCCTCCAGCAGACTTCTCAATCCTAAGCAGCCCTGCTTAGCACTGGTCCCCGTCCTCCCAGGAAGTTCACACTCTGACACTTGGGCAGCCGGAGGCTAACCATGGGGTCTGTGCCCATGGCTGAAGGAGCCCCGGGCTCCCCGCTCCAAGGTCCTACACGGAGCCCGAGTGCAGAGAAGGGAGGCATGGTCTGGCATGGGGAAAGTTGCCGAGTGCTTACTGGGAGTTTGGCGATGCTAATTACCACGCTTGCTTAGCAGGGCCTGTTTCCCAGCAACCCACCTGTTCCTTCTCGAAGGTCACTCTAATTGGCTGAGCTACATGCTTGTTGCCAAGAAGCAGTGTGGAGGCATCTTGAAAATAAAACAGCCGGGCCACACAAGCACCCAGAGGGATCTGGCGCTGTGTGCGATCCAGACTCTCCAGCCCATGCACGCACACGTGCAACCCCTGCCCTGGGTGTGACCCAGTCCCCAGGACCTCACGGTCCCTCCTGACTTGCACCTTCGCACCACTGAGCCCCTGCCAATACCAGCGTGAAAACTGGGGTGCTCGGCACTCCGCTCAAGTCCTACATGGGAGGTGGGGTCCCCCCTGCCCCACATTCTGGGCCGTCACTCAGCATGCTCCAGCCAAAGCAAGTCTCTGGGTCTAAACCAGGACACAGTAGAAGCCTCCGTGTGTTTGTGATGGGGGGCAGGAGGGACCGGCACATCCAGAGCCCAAGGATTGGGGCACGCAGAGGATGGGGTGACCAGAGGGACGCAGGAGATGGTGTGAGTGTTCTGAGGACCTTCCATCTGCAGCCCTGTAGCTGGGGCCTCTGGGCCCATCTCCTTCCAGCTGCCAGATGGCTGCCCCCGCTGCTGCCACCCAGCAGGACCTATGTCCAACAGAGCGGGACACACCTCTCAGGGCCTGGTTAGGGTCAGGGTGCCCTGGGGATCTCATGGGGACAGGGGCTGGGAAGGTGCCCTGCAGGCTGCATGGGATGGGCAGGCCAGGGGACATCCTTGGGGGGACAGAGGCATCATAGGCTAATCCTGCAGCAGCCACTGCCCCACCTCACTCAACCCAGACTTGGTCTGGAGTTTGGGGATGGTGAGAAGTTTGGCAGGGGTTGGGGGGAGGCAAATTTGGGTAAAAGAGGGCAGGTTAAGAAGTAGCCTGAGAACCCAGGGACAAGCTTTTTTGCAGGGGACGGGGGGGCGGGGGCAGGAGTCAAGGTTTATCCTGGAACTAAGTGTTTAGGCAGGTTATGTCACAGGGACAGGGCACAAAAGACAAAAAAAGGGATGAGGAACTGGGCAGGAGCACCTGCTCATGAGACTCCTGTTCTCAGCCACTACTGGCCCTCAACCATCCTCGGTCATTTCTGACTCCCTTTTTGCAGGCAAGGAATCCCCAGCTCCGCTGCCCAGCTTCTGCCACAGGTTGGGACCTGCTCACAGAATTTCAGCCTTCCCCTACCGGAGAGAAGAGGCTACTTCCTTGAACCCTCCAAATCCTTCAGAGCATACTTCAGAGGAACACATATTCCCTACCTACCCCTACCCCCATCCCCACCTCCTGGTCACCCTCTGGCTCTGCCTCAAGAGGCCTGCAGAGCTGGGTCGGCCCCTCCTGGGCTCCTGGACCCACCCCACCCCCGCGTGTAGGATGGGGGAAGTAGGGCCTGTGCTAGGCTCTCCAAAGACCTCACGGCAGCAGCTCATCCTTGCCCTGACTCCCAAATGTTGTTGGCATCTCTCGGGATTACTTCCTTGGGCAACCTTAGCTGTGTTTCAGGGAGGTCTAGGGAACGTGTGGCACTGACCCTGGGGAGCCAGGCCTCAAGGTCACAGCAGGAACCAGGGGGAGAAGTGGTAATCAAATGGAGGGCAAAGGCAGGGGCCCCTGATCTGGTATCCCCTTACCTTCTAGTGCTTGTCTTCCCTGTGGGTATCTGGGGTGGGGGGTGCTGGGCTCTGTGTACCACCGGGGGATGCCCGAGGCCCTTCTAATCCAGGGACCAGGAGATCAGGGTACCTATCTTAAAAGCGGGGACACGTCCAAGACAGAGGAGATGGTGGCCAAGGCCTCAGGGAAGGAGGGGACCTCAAGTTTTGTGGGGGACACTGGGGAGACTCAGCTCCCTGGGGGCTCTCCACCTGCCCGGCCTGGGGAGCCATACCTTTCCGGACACTACCATCAGCACAGGCATAGTCCCCGGCGCTGAGCAGGAAGCAGGCAGCTGCCTTCTTGGTTTTGTCCCGGGGGCCAGAGCGTCGCAGGGCCCGGCGCTCCTCAGGGGTGGGGGCAGAGGCCAGGGGCTGGGTGAGGCCAGCTCCCTCCTCGTCTGACAGCACCGCATTGGCATCGCCGTTCTGCTTGGAGTCTAAAGGGGGCAGACAGAAAGGAGGCTGCGTGAGGGGCTGCCCAGGCCTTCCTCCTGGGCTTGCCTGGGGTGTCAGATCCCGGACCTAGAGTGTCACTTCCCCAACCCAAGGGGGCTGGCATCTCCCCGGGAGAGCCAGGGGACAGGGGGCACCTGCTTCCCTCTCAGCCTTGGCCTAGCGTCTTTCCTGGGACACAGAGCCGCAGATACCCTAAGCAGGGGTTTCTGAAATCTGCCTGCTGCAGGCTGCCCCAGGGGATTAGCCTGAGGCTGGTGGCAGACTCTGCTTCCTCCTTGGGTCTGGCTCAGGCTGACACTTGGATGAGTTTGCATTCCCTCAGAGAACGCCTGGCTTGGTGGGATAAGGGCCGGCACCATCAGGGTTAAACCAAGAAAGTGGCTTCCACAGCCATCTCCCTGGGCCCCCTGAGTCATTCTTGTTCACTGGGCATCTAAGGCATTGTCAAGTGCCTGAAGGATTCGGAGCCCTCTGCTCGGGGCTCAGCTGTCTGGGGAAGACCCTGTACTGAAGAGGCTCCAACACAGCTCCCACTGCTGTGGGCTCTGAGCCCCAACCCCCGGCCTCCATCAGGTGGCAGTGCAGGGGGGCGCTCGGCTCTGGAGGGGCCCGCTCGGTCTGAAGGCAGGGCCTCAGGATGCCCTGACCATGGCCAAGCAGTTAGAGTCAGGCTGAGGCATAGCTGATAGGGCCATGGTAAGTGTGCAACGAGGAGCTGGACAAGCAGGAGCTTGTCCATTCTGATACTAGGTTTCCCCCTGAACTCTGAACGGGCCTCTGGGTACAGCTCAAATTTCCTGGGCCACTGGCTGGGAGATTTACATTCAGGGATCAGGGAAGGGGGTACCACTATGATGGGGGAGAAGGGGGGAGACTGAAAGGTGCTGTTCCATCAAGGTCTCTCGAAGACCCAGGCCCCCAAGTGACCCCAGGGAATGAGTAGCTCCAGCATATACAATGGGCACCCACCAACAGGCCAGGTGAGTGTCTCAAGTCAGGCACCCCCCTGGAGGACGAATCCCACTTTGCCCCCCGAGCTTGGCCAGAAGCTGCTACCTTTGTCTCCTGGCCCACCCCAGCTCCCAGATGGCCTGGCATCCAAGGGCTCCCCAGACTAGGAATCCCAGACCTCCCTCGGGAGCCCACCCCATACCTAACCCTTAGGTTCCTGCTCTCCAACCTAACTCCAAGTTGCTGTGGGTTAAGCTGATTTCCTTTCCCATCTCTTGACTCAGGTGGAAGCAAGCTTTCCAGGGGTGGCCTTTCCCATCCTTGCAGAACAGGATCCAGGCCCTCAGCCCCTCCCCCTTCCAGGATGCAGGTGCCATTTCTTCCACACTTCCTTTGCCCCTGCCCGATTCTGTCTGGGCTATTCCCTCCCCTCCCATGTTAAACCGTGAGCCCAGGACTCAATCTAGATTTGTGCTGAACAGAAGGCAGCCTCCCACTGCTGTTACGTTATCACATTTATTAGGCCAAGAGACATCAGACTCCAGTGTTTGGAAAGAAATGATTCATGCATTGATGCACCTTGGAAGAACAGCTGCTGGGCTCTCTAGCTAATAACGACAATGCCTGATGCTTGTAAAGTGGTTTTTACTTCTCAGAGTCCTCTCATATCTGTCATTTGTTTGGGTCTCATCAACGTCTTGGGAAAAGGAGATCATTCCCATTTACCAGGTGAGGATCAGAGAGGGCAAGTGACTGGTCTCAGGTCACACAGCACAGTGGCCAAGGCGGTACTGGAATTTACGGACCCGTGCACTGCCCATCACAGCCTAAATTGGGTGGGACACTCACTCCACAAACCCTGATGTTCAGAAAACTACTGGAACACCAGAAGATAGAGACTGGGCCTCAATACTTTGCACCCTTAAAGGCACATCTTATACTCAGGGAAGCCCGGAGTAGTAAAGCACAACCCCAAATTCCAAGGGCTGAGGCTCATCTGGGGACTCCCTGAGGAGAGGTGGCTTTCCTTCCCAACCCCCAGTCTCACCTGCCCGTTTCCTTTCAACCATACCCTCTTCTGGGGCAGCGGGGCTGGTATCACTGTAGGTGCTGTCCCGGGGCGAGGTCTCCTCAGACTTGCAGTAAATGGGTGACTCAAGCTGGGGCGGCCGGGGCACGTGCTTCTTTCTTTTCTTAGGCAGCTTCTGCTTGGCCATGGCCAGGGAGTAGTACATGCCGAAGTTGTTGACGATGACCGGCACGGGCATGGCGATGGTGAGCACGCCAGCCAGCGCACACAGCGCCCCCACCAGCATGCCGGACCAGGTCTTGGGGTACATGTCCCCATAGCCCAGCGTCGTCATGGTGACCACCGCCCACCAGAAGCCGATGGGGATGTTCTTGAAGTCGGTGTGGTCATTGCCCCGCGGGTCGGAAGGCCTGGCGCCAATGCGCTCAGCATAGTAGATCATGGTGGCGAAGATGAGCACCCCCAGGGCCAGGAAGATGATGAGCAGCAGGAACTCGTTGGTGCTGGCGCGAAGGGTGTGGCCCAGCACGCGCAGCCCCACGAAGTGGCGCGTGAGCTTGAAGATGCGCAGGATGCGCACGAAGCGCACCACGCGCAGGAAGCCCAGCACGTCTCGGGCCGCCTTGGAGGACAGGCCGCTCAGGCCCACCTCCAGGTAGAAAGGCAGGATGGCCACGAAGTCGATGATGTTGAGCAGGTTCTTGACGAAGTCCAGCGTGTCGGGGCAGCACACGATGCGCACCAGGAACTCCAGCGTAAACCACAGCACGCACACACCCTCAATGTAGGTCAGGATGGGCTCTGTCTCCACCTCCCGCCGGAAGTGCACGCTGGTGGTGTTCCCCACCCGGTGGATCTCTGTCACGTTGCGGTCAATGTTGAAGGCCTCATGGGTCTCCAGGCAGAAGGTGGTGATGGAGACCAGGATGAAGAAGAGAGAGGCGAAGGCCACCACCTGCGGGCAGGGAGGAGAGTGGGGCGGCTATCAGGGCAGGCTGGGCGCCCTCCTGTGGGTGGGGGGTGGGGCAGGGGCCACTGGGCAGGTGTTAGGTGGCGAGAGGCAGGATTAAGGTACGCAGTCAGGGGCTGGAGCTCCCTCCTCAGAGGGTCTTTATCCATCTGCTTGGGTGTTTTAAGGCAGTATTCCCCAGTCTTTGTCCCCGTGCACAGAAGACAGACAGAGAACGACAGCTGCCTGGCCCCCCCTCCTGCCTAGCTCCGTGCCCCTGCAGTCCTGCCGGGACTCAAAGCTTCCCAAACTGTATATAAATCATCTGGGAATCTTGTAAAATGTGATTCTGATTCAGGAGGTCGAAGGCAGGGCCTGTGATTCCGCATTTCTAACAAACTCTCCCGTGAGGCTGCTGGTCCACAGACTACACTTGGACTAACTAGGCTTTAAGACAGTGGTCCTCAAAGTGAGGCCCTGGCCCAGTAGCAGCGTCGCTTGGGAACTAGTTAGAAACGCACATTCTCAGGCCCTGAGTAAACCTACTGAATGAGAAACACTGGGGGAAGGGCCCATAATCTGTTTTAACAAACCTTCCAGGTAATTCTGATGCACGCTAAGTTTTGAGGTCTGCTGCATTTTAGGGGTATGCCCAGAGACAGGGGGCTGGAGGGAATGACCTTGGGCCTCTTTCTGCCAGCTGAGTCTTTAAGCTCCAGCCATGACCCACTCTCCCTCCTCAAGCCCCGCGTCCCAGCCCCTCTCCCCCACCTCTCAGTTTAGAATGTCCCAGCCAACTGCCCAGACAATGAGAAGCATCTGATAGAAGACAGCGTGCTCCATGGCAGGAGACGGGGGGAGTCTGCTCAGAATAACCACCCCTTCCCTTCCCGACAACTGACATTTCCTGGGACCTGAGCTCCAACAAAAAATAAACTGCACCCATTGGGATCGGAGTGTGGCAGCGGCTGGTCCAGACAGCTGCTGGGATCTCAGCTAGAATGATGACAGCAGTGCGCGGCAGAGGTTTAAGTGTCCAATCATTATGAATGGAGAGGAAATGCATGTGTGATAACACCAATTATGGAGCCTTCATCTGTTATTCACCACTGTCAGGGTACCTGTTGCTGAGGTCTGTGCCCCCTGCTGCTGGCCGTCCTGCAAAGCGTGGGGATGGGCTTCCTCCCGAGCAGAGGGCTGCGCTTCAAACAGGTGCATGAGGAAGGACTGTGGGCCCATGACCACTTGGCAACCCCCACGCCTGACCCACCCGGATTTCCACCTGACCATGGCATTGCCTCCTGTCTAATGGTGCCTCTGGGAGATGCCCTGCTCCCTGAGAGTCTGCGCTGGGAGGGAGAGAAGGCACGCCTTGCTACTACTACTGCCGAACACCAATGGAGAATACAAGGGGAGCTGGGAAAATGAAGAAGCAGCATCTCCGGGGCTTCTGAAGCAGGACTGGGTCTGAGGAGAGAACGTGGGAACGGACATCCATCAGCTGTCTATTCTGTCCTGGCACAGCTGGGCACTTGGTACATGTTACCGCCTTCAGTCCTCCCTGTGACCCTGTGAGGTAAGCCCCATCATCTCGCTTTACGGACAGGGAACTGAGAGTCAGAGAGGTTCTGTGCTTGCCTGAGGTCACACAGCCTGGAAGGGGTGGAAAGCAGACTTGAACTCAGCATGGTTTAACTTCAGAGGCTGCACCTTCTCTTTACACCACACAGTCTTCACCAGCCCCCAGGCAGGATCAATTCACAGACCCAGGAAAGTCTTCTCTGAACCATCAGCACTGCCCCCACCAGCTCTCTGATGACTGCTATTTCACCCTGAGGGATGTGTACCTTTGGCTTAAGACAGGCACCCATCATACACTAAGACATCTTATTTACACTTGAACATGGATGGGTCGATCAGATAGAGTGAGGAAGGAGAAGGGAGGTGGCAGGCCATGGATCACACTTTCCCTCCTTGAACAGCTTTGCCTGGAGCTTCTCCTCCTGTCTGGGGCTTTCCTGCGAAGGTAAATTTCAAGTTCCTTTTCTGACCTCATTTCACTTCCCTGAGAAATGGGCTAGCAAGGCAATACAGGCTGATGTGGAACTTAGGCAAATGGCTCCAGCCTGCGGGCTCTCCGTGGTCATCCAGAGATGAACTGGTGGAGGGACCTGTCCCCTGGCTGCGGAGATGCTGGGAACCCAGAGTCTTGGCACTGCCACCCCGATCCCCAGAAGCAGAGGGGGTTGTGGTCAGGGGTGGGGACAGCACATCCCGGAGGCTCTGCCAGGAAGCATGGGAAGCAGGAGCTCGCTCTCTCCGAGGAAAAGTTAGCCAGGAGAGTTGGCCCGCCTGGGAGCCGAGCGTGAAGTTAATTAGTGATTTGGAAAAACAAGTTCAGGAAGAGCTGCCAAGGGGCTGAGCAGAGGGCGGGGGGTTGGGGGGGGCGGCGTGTGCCCAGCTCCTTCCAAGCTCCTTCCTCCTCCCACGTTAGGGGACAACCCCCTGAATTCCCGACGTGTTCACTCACTTTCGCTGTGCTTTTTAAAACACGGAACTGGGGGCGCCTGGGTGGCTCAGTTGGTTAAGCGACTGCCTTCAGCTCAGGTCATGATCCCAGGGTCCTGGGATCGAGCCCCGCATCGGGCTCCCTGCTCGGCGGGAAGCCTGCTTCTCCCTCTGACCCTCCCCCTGCTTGTGTTCCCTCTCTCGCTGTCTCTCTCTCTGTCAATTAAATAAATAAATAAAATCTTTTTAAAAAAATAAATAAATAAAACACGGAACTGTTGTGTCTATTTACTCATACCGCTCACCTCTGCCCTCCCTGAAAATGGGGCAGGGAAATGGTAGCCACCCACGGGTGCCCATTTCTCAGGGGCGGCAGACGCACAAGAGGGCAAATGACTGGCTCAGGATCGAACCGAGGCCAGCTCTCCTGCCTCTCCACTCAGAGTTCTTTCCACTTGGCCCTCTAACCAAACAAATGGGGACAGTCCACTCCTCCTTGGTGACCCCTTCGTGTGACCTCTCCAGGGTCGGCAGCCGGTGGCAGGCAGGCCCCAGAAAGCCCTCCCTCCCCGAGGAGACAGACAGACCTGAGGCTGAGCTGTGACAGATGCAGGCATCTGGGCTCTGGCACGCTGCCGCACGGGGGTCCCGGGGTTACAGGTCCCCCTTTGGGGCCCCAGTTATTCCTTTTCTCCCCTAAGTTATTCCCAAACTGAGTTCTATCATAAGTGGTGGTCCTAGGCAAGCGCGATCAAGGCACTTCACCAGGCCTTCCCCTCTGGTGGTAGGGACACTGTTTTTTTCCTCCCACTCTTTTGATTGAGGGCTTCTGAGGACAATAAAGGGCCAAGGAAGGAGGTGGTGACTGCAAAATCACCCCATTTTAGGCATCAAGGCCTGGAGCCGGAGCCTCCGGAGCAGCCCTTGCAAGGCCATCCGCTATAGCTGGCGGGGTGCCCGCGCCTCCTTCCCATCAGCCCCTGCCGAGCAGAGAGCGAGCGCAAAGAGCTAAGGAGCCCTGGGGTCCGACAGCCTAGGTCCCTCACCCTGGCCCGGGCCCTCACGAGGTAAATAGCGTGCTTCGTACCTGTCCCTCGCTACAATCTGGAGCCAGAAAAAATCACAAAATCCTTGCTTTTTAGAAGCAAAGGGTCCTGGAAGCTCATCCTTTTCTGCTGTTTTACAACCCAAGAAACTGAGGCCGGGGGAGGAGTGACTTGCTCTGGTTCCTTCCCATGGCGGAAGTGGTCAGTTCTTTCCACGGCCTGAGGACACAGGGCATAGGTTTGGCCGGAAGGCAAAAGTGCTCAAGCAGAAAACCGCTTGTACGAACTGGTCTGGCCAGCAGGCACTCTCTCCCTGCTGGAAGGCTGCAGGAGGGTCCCACTACCCTGGACAGGAGGTTCCTAGCCCCTGTGTAGGAAAGCACTGCTCCTTCAAGCTTCCTGCTGCACGTATCCTCTTGGGGGGGCCCACCGGTCCGGAGACCCAGGTGTTTAAGCTGGTGGGGCCAGCCCTGTCATGGGCCTCCTTCACCGAGCTCATCCTGAGATAGTCGGTGGTGGAAATCTAAAGTCCACACTTCTGGGTCCAAGGTGGGCTCTGCTACTGACTGCCTGAGAGACCTTAGGCAAAGTTCTCAACCTCTCTGAGCCTTCGCATCTTTGCCCATAAAATGGAAATTGAGTGCCTACTACGTGCCAGACACTGTTCTGGGTGCTGGGGAACAGCAGGAAACAAAACAAACACCCCTGCCCCTTAGGCCTTACATTCTCGTAGAAGGAAACTGTCAACAGGTAAGTAAAGTATATTGTATGTCGGATGCTGTAAGTGTTAGAAAAACAAAGAGTAAAGGGAGTAAGGGGTATGAGGGTGAGGGAAGTATTTCAAATCGGGTGGTGAGGCAAGGCCTCAGCCAAGGTGACATCTAAGCAGAGACCTGAAGGAGTGAGGGAGGGAGTTATGTGAAGATCCAGGAAAGCTCAAGAGGCAGAGGGAGCAGGCAGTGCAAAAGCCCTGAGGCTACAGTGTGCTTGATGTGTTGAAGGGGTGAGAACAGTGCCCACCTGATGGGGTTGTTTTGAGGATTAAAAGAAACGATATTTGTAAGACTCAGCACAGAGCCTAGAGTGTCTCAGGAATCTGGCACAGGCTGGGTCGGGGGGGTAGGGGGGAGGTGACAGACACCAGTCATTGGGAACTGAATATAATCAGCGGGGGCAGGGGAGGGGAGCCCAAGGAGAAAGGGCCAAGGAGACAGATGGACAGATAAACATAAGAAGACTCATGCCCAAAACCTATATTAAGGATGAAGTGTAGGAGAAGAGAAATTTGAGAACACAGCCAAAGACACTTGCAGAGGAAGATCTGTGGGGATGGGATGAGGAGCTGAGGTTTTTGGGGAAGTAAGATCCTAGTGCCCCGGCAGTGCTGTAAAGGGAGTAGGCAGCCCTGGGGGCTCAGAGGCAGGAAAGGGGAGAGAGCCTGCCAGGCAAGGC